CAAAAAATTGAAACACAGTGAATATAGAGATGTCTCACACACGTGGCACACGTGGCAATAAAAACAAGGCACGTGTTAGCTACTCAAAAATATTTCCTGTCAGGATTTATATTTAAATTTACACTTACAACCCTTCTGTATCTTTTAAACAACCAGACACCCTTTTATTTTCTGAAATCAGACTGCCTTCTCTTACTTTAGAAATTTATGTAAAAAATTTTGTCCCTTTCTTTTTTGTCTTTTTAAATAGTATTTCTACGAAATTCTTTACATTTTCACTTTTGACACATTCTTTATACAATTTTTCAATACTAACAAAGGTCTTTACAATTGTTTTTAGCATTTTTTTAATAAAAAATAGATAGATTTTGGTTTTTGAAACAATACTACAAACATTCTTATCAATCTAAAATTTACTTAAAAAAATGAATCATTGGTTCAAATTTATTTTACTTATGAACTCCACACCCAGGGACGGAGGGAAGGAGGGCCCAGGGGGGTCACGTGCCCCTTCGAGTTTTGGAATTTTTTTTTTTTACAAACATAAAGAAAATATTTTATATAAAAATATTATTTAGAATGAAATGTCAATGATATTTTTAAAATTATAAGAACAATAATGATTATTTTGATTGAAAATAAAAAAGACTACAATATTATTATTTATGAAAATTTCAATATAATTGTGATCTTTATCATTATTGATATGCAAACATAATTAATCTCAATGAAAATATAGAATTTATTGAATTGATAGTTACATTTAATATGCAGAGTTCATCCTCCATGTGTTTCTTTATTATTGGTTGGTAATATCACATGTCAATGATTGCGTGGAATAGCTATTATATTGAATTTTTACGCATATTTTGTATAAAAAAATTACTTTATCATTATCTAATTTATTTTAAAACTTTATATCCATGACTTTTTTTAATGTTGTCCATGATACACTAATTACAAATAACACATTCACTTTGTTTGGTTTGAATTTTCTAAAAACACTTTTCAAAAAATTATGCGTTTTTGTTTTTTGTATGTTTTTTTGTTTTTATTGAATTTTTTTAATATTTTAAGTAATTTTTTTTTAATTTTTAGACACACCTAACATAAATATACTTAAAAAGTATAATTTTTGCGAAAAAAACTTTAAAAAATTCACTAAATACCAAAAATATAAAAAAAATACAAAAAATAAGTACATTTTTCATATTTATTAATTTTTTAAAATATTTTTTCACAAATATTTTATTTTTTTTTAGATACATCATGCATCTAAAAAAAAAAGAAGCTTAAAATTTTATAAATATTCACTAAAAACAAAAAAATAAAATAAAATAAAAAATAAAAAACTTAATTTTCAAAAAACTTAATTCAAAAAACTCAAACTAAACATACTGATTTTGTTTTTTTATCTTTCTTGAAGTCAATCGTAAAAATTTATGTGAAATATTTTTATAAATATTTTCAATATTGTAATTAAGAAGTGCCCCCTCTGATTTATTTTTTTGGCTCTGCCACTACCCACACCTTATCAATTTAATTTCCGACATACAAACACATTCGAGGTAAATTATGAAATAATAAGGGTAGGTTGATAGCATTTTTGTTTTTGAAATAGAAATGGAATTGAGTTAGCAAGTGCCTATTATTTAAAAAGTCAAAAAAATTTTAAAAATCAAAAATATTTTAGAAAGTCACAAATTCATTTCTATTCACTTTGCTTTTTGAACAATGTAAAAAGTTATATATATATATATATATATATTAGTCAAAAAAATCACTTCCCAAACAAGGCCTAATTTTTATGAGTAATTTCATCTATATTTATCATGGGCCATTGAGTAGTGGTTAACATTAGTATATGCATAAAAATTATATTAAAATATGTAAAAGGTGTATAAAATATGTGAAATATGAATTTTTAATAAATTAAATACTATTTTTATTTCAAATAGAAAGCAAAAGAATTATATTGAGCTTAAAATTCTATTTGACATGCTTTCTTATTCAACTAAATAAAATTATATAAGAAATTGAAACTTTATAGAAAGGGAATTCCACACTTTTCAAATGGTGTGTACTATAAGCATTTTCCGTATTTTGTAGTAATTATACATATTTTATGGTTAAAAAATATTATTAAAAAATGTATGACATTATCACAAAATACTAATTTTATTTCTAAATTATAAATTATCATAACTTTGCCAAAATTTTACATATTCATTAAAAAAAATGTAACATATACAACCAAAATGTAAAGGAATTTCTTAGAAATACTATTTAAAAAGAAAAAACAAAGGAACAAATTATTATTATTTTTTTAATAATGCAGCCAAGAAGCAAATTAATTTTTTTTTTTTTTTTTTTTTAGGTTTGTGTGATCGAATCTGATCTTTGTGTGTGATTAGATCTAATTTGTGTTCTATTTTCAGCTCTAAATTTCTTTTTGTTAGGGTTTTCTTAGATCTGATAGATATATATATATATATATATATATGTGTGTGTGTGTGTGTGTGTGTGTGTGTGTATAATGAACAACAACAATCTTACAAATTTTGTGGGATCAGATTCAAATATTTGTGGGATCATTTTAGTTATGATAAATTTTGGCGCTTGTATGTTTTGTAATTTGTTGATTGTAAAAGAAAGGTATGGCCTCCCATTACCTCTTTATTATTTCTCCTTTTCAGGGGGTCCATTGAACTCTCTCCTATTTCTTTCTTTGTGATTTGTACAGCTTTAAGAGCATCTTCAATGATAAATTGTCTTTCCAAAAATCCTTCAATCTAAATTTCATATAAAATTTGACAATTATCAAAATTTTAAAAACTCTCTCTACTCTTTGTTTTGTAAATTTAAATTTATAACATTGCCTTAAAAATAATAATGATATAATAACTATATTTTGTTTACCAACTTACATCTACTAATACAAGTGTCAGATTTATTAATAGAATGGGCCGCACATCTATTAATATGGGGGCAGACTAGACGGTGCTATTTGGGCCTTGGGTGCATTACGGGCTCGTTTTAATAATTTAAATTATTTAATTTGTTGAACACATTGTATATTTCATGAATAAAAATAATTAAGTCGACCTAATAATTATAACTTGTTTAATTTATTATATTTTTCACAAAAAATAAAATAGACTGTAATTATGTTTTTAAAAATAAATTATTTTGTTTATAAAAAACACAATAAATTAAACAAGTTACAGTTACTGATTGATTTAATTTTTGTGTGTGAATAAAATACATGCAATTCTTGACAACATTAACAATTTGAATCATTAAAATGTCGCAGTGGGCCCCACAGACCTAAACAGCATCACGTAATAATAAATAAATTGTGATTAAAATTTTAATATTATTTACCAGAAATAATGTGGTGCCTTTTATACTCTCATTTTCTTACAATCACTAATTTTTTTTATTCTCTCTCATGAAGTTTGGAAAAAATAAGTTAGTACTAAATTATTGACATAATTACCTTGATGTACTTTGTGATTTTAATTCAAATAATAATTAAGTTATTTTTAATCAATAATTTGATAGTCGTATTAATAAAAAAATAACATTATTATTTATTTTCAACTAAAATTTATTTTATCTTTATTTATTTCAATCATTTTAATTATATTAAAAAAATAGTATAATTATAACAAAAATATATAATTAATTATTTTTTTCAAATCTCAAAGTAATATATTTTCGGATAAATTAAAAATACACTCCTTGTAGTTTGCTCAATACGGATTGTCTCCTATAGCTTAAAAAAAATACAAATACCCTTTTATTATTTTTTTTACTTAACTAAATTAATTAAAAAAATAAAATTTCTAACTACTCTCCTATATAATAATAAAATTATTTGAATGCACAAATATATGAAAAAGGTCTAAGCGTAAAGTATATCTTTTCTCTTATTGAATCTTTTGTTAGTAGCATTGATATAGATTATGATATTTAGTTATTTCAATTTGTTAGAAGTGTAAAAGAATGTGACATATTGAACCAGGTTGCAAGAAAGTTATGGTAAGTTGATTATTTTTCAACATAAATGCAATGGAGCAAATTGTCAAGATAACTCATTCAAAAAATCTTGAATATTAACACAAGACAGTAAATGATTGTTAAAAAGAAAGTAAAATAAATAAATAAATAATAGCGTTTGTCTTGGAAGTTGGATGCAGAGTTAGTACTGTGAAACAAATCTGTAAGAATTGATATGGTCCCTTGTAGTAGAAGAGTTGCAGAGATCCGTAAAACAGTGGTTATGGTACCATGAAGCAAAAATTTATGTGGTGCTTTGAGAAGTTAGTAAAAAAACTAACTTTTTGGCTTTTTTGTGTAAAAAAATTAAAAAGTCAAAAAGCTAGCATTTTTAGAAAGTTCCCAAATCTTGATTACATGCATTCTTTATCCAAACAAGAAATATGTAACAAGAAAGTTAAGAAACACAAAATAACAAATCCCTAATATTGTTTTCTCAGTTTGGCCTTGGCAATAATGCCGGCACATGTTAAATCTTCCAAGTGACTTTTAACTAACCTCCATTTTTCTGAGGCTCTTAAATCTCTCTGGTAGGATACTACTTCATTCTCCCTCACTTCCAAGATTGGTAATAAGGTAAGAAGTTAGATGAGATTTGGGAACCACCCTGTAGGTAGAATTAATGAAAAGCCATTAGATGCATCCCACTAATATACATCAAACATGTAAATACATAACAATATACAAAAAAAAAAATGCAACGAGTCCATCAAATGAGAGCACAACACTTACATGCATATCCTTTCTATCCACGGGCCTAAACAAGTAGAGTAAAGGCCTTTTCAGGCTGGGCGTATTTAAAAAATGAGCATTCAGATTTGTACACAGGTTCTTCTTTACTTTTATTTTGCTTACACATACACAAACAAATAATTATAAGGGAAATTTGGCCAAAACCCCTCCATTTGACCCTTATTTGGTGAAAATGATAACTTAATTTATTTAATATCAACTTTAAAATCGTAATTTGTTGCTTCAGACTTTGCTCTTGCAACAACTTGCCTCCCATCTGCTACTAATCCAGCAACTGTCTGTAATCAATGGTAAATTGCAAAGGAGAGCAATAAGCAATGTACATCAATCATCTTTTAGCAAATAAAAACCTAAAAAAGAGGAAACACAGAGAGTGAGAGAAAATACATAAATCTTCTTAGCTACCTATTTGTAGAATAAACAATAAAACTATTTAAATAAAAGACAGTTACAGATCAAAACCATTGAAGCTGACTACCTGAGAGAACTAAAACAAATAAAACAGTTATAGATCCGATACCTAAGAAAAATAAAAACATAGATCGAAATCAAAATCATCCAAAACAAGCTTGAGTCAAACCAATAAAAGAGAAGAGCACCTAGATCAACAATGGAAATAAATTACAATTTATCCAGAGTACATGAACTCATTAACAAATAAATCTCATATCCAACTAACCTCCACACCTCCAGGAAAGCAGAATGAAAGAAGATCCTTATACTTAAGTAAGACCTGAAAATAAAAAACTGAGAGGTCATATATCATATCCAAAGCATGTCCAATGATCTATAAAATTATTATGTTCAATGTTTAGCATAAAAGAATTAGCACCTGGGGTTCAAGGTTAGGCTCTACACGAGACTGAAATTAGCCACTTAATGCACTTCGAAATTTACCTGAACCTTCAGACTTTCTCCCGAAGTACTGCTTCTGAAGTGCCTGAATATCACAATTAGGATGAAGTCCAACACCTTCAGACTTTCTCCCAAAGTACTGCTTCTGAAGTGCCTGAATATCATAATTAGGATGAAGTCCAACAACCACCATGCTCTCAAAAAGCCTTGATGGCTCTTTTAAAGGCCTATGATCTTGCAAATTTGAATAACACACTTAGTAAAACCAATGTTGCTATAAAACCTACCATAGAAACACAAAGGACAAAAATTTCATTTTTATTATGACCATCTGTATAAAAGGGAATGGGAACACACAAGAATCGAAGGCATTTGACGTTATGAGCAGGTTTGAACTCAAATTGCACAATTTCTTGTAAGCTTTCCATTCAAAGTAAGCACTACATGGTGAAACTACAAGATATATGCAAGACAACAAAGTACCAGAGCAAAATGAACAGCTGATTGCTAAAGAGATAAGTAACCTGGACCAAAAAGGGTTTTACTTGAGACAAATATAAATACCAGGGACTGCAATTGGACGCTTGCCCATTGACGCTTTTGGCTAGTTAGTACTTCTGGGTTATAAGTTCCACTTTTCACTTCAGGAGGCTGTGAAAAGCCTTTTAGTACTCTAGAAACTTGGTGTTGAAGTATATGTAGTGGACTATTGCCGTTGTCATCTTTTGATGAGAATACCACAGATGGTCGGGGTGAACGAACAGTAGTGGCAGCAGCAGCTGCAGCAGCAACAGCTCTTGCAACATCTTCTGTTGTCTGCATAAAGAGTGAAGCACTCCAGCTAGGGCTACCTGAATCTTCATTCTTCACCATATTTGAAATTTTGCCTCCTGCAAAGCAAAGATAAGCATACATAAATAAGCCCAAGTCCCACATTAAAATAAAATAAAAATTAAAAAATATTAATAAAGAAAGAAAACAAGGAAGCATTCCATAATAAAGAATTAAAAGACGGAAATCAAGACATGAGGTAACACCATGAGGCATGAACTTAAGAATGTGTGTGAGAAAACAAAGAAGGATGCATAATTCTACTTTCATATTACAATCATACTCACTTACTTTACACACTCAACACATATGTTTGTGAAGCACGCACACACACACTTTCTATGACTACGCATTTGAGTATGTAAATAGGTCGAATTATTTTACTCGCACACGGAATGATAAAAAAAAAATAGTAACTCGAGGTATAATATAACTTACCTTAATACTGACTCTTAATCTGACTCTTAGCCTTTACTTTCTTAATATTGATTCCCCCTTTAGTTGTATGAGGCACCGTCGTTCTATATTGTTTTTGTTTCGATGGCTTAACAGTATATCACTTATATAGTCAAACTTCATGGTGATTCACCCCTTTATCCTTATTACCCTCTTGGTGACTCAATCCTCATTGTTTACTAGGTGTGACAGGTGGTAGCTCTTTATTGCCCTATTAAGACATATAGCTCTAGACCCATGATCCCAAATCCTTAACTATTAAGATTAAGGGAAATGATCCAGACCCCCAGAACCCCCAGCACCCCCACACATTCGCGAGAGAGGAGAGGAAAGAGAGTGGAGAAAATATATATATATATATATATATATAATGTGTAGCTACAAATCAATTGGGGGTTGTGGGGGTTAAAAATGGTGGGGGTCTCAAGTATTTTCCTAATAATAATACTTATCCCAAAATGTTCTTTTGTTACTTAGCTTTATATCACTTGATTTTGATAATATAAAATTTTTAATTAAATTACACTTTATTACATAATATCTTAAAATTTATTATTATTATTATTATTATTATTATTATTATTATTATTATTATTAGTATTATTATTATTATTATTATTATTATTATTATTTGTGGTATTAATTAAATATTTAGGGTGTCACAGAGAGAGAGAGAGAGTGAGAGAGAGGATTTGAAGATCTACAACTGAGATTTACAGTGTCTAAGGCAGAAAAGCTCAGATCTACAACATCTAGGTATGAAGCGACGGCGTGAGATTGAAGGTGACTTCAGCAACTACAAGAGAGAGAGGGGGTTTGGTTTGAATAGGAAGAGAGGGTGGTTTGGTTTGAATAGAAAGAGAGATGATGAAAAGGAAGAGACGATGGTTGTGTGTGGGAGGGAGATGTTGATGATCTATTTGACAATATATATATATATATATATTAGGGGTAGTTTGGTTATTTTGTAAGAATCTATTTATCTATATATATTATATAAGGACAAGGGGGTTTCTAGTGAAAAGACTTGTGAGAGTTCCAAAGTCTCATTCAACAATTACTAATTTTTGTGATTTTAAAAATATTTAAAAATAATTCTATTGACTAACAAAATAATTATAGATTAAAAAAATTAAAAAAAACCATCTAAAATTTTGAATTACAAGTTCCTAAAATCTCTCCCCTCAATATTTCTCTCTTTCTTAAATCTCATCTCATAATAAAGTAACTATCCATTAAAAAAGCATTATACATTTAAAAAAAAAAACACATACACACACAAATCTCATCTTATAACAAAATAATTATATATTTTACAAAAAAAAAAAAAATTATAGATTAAAAAAAACATAAAACCACAATTATTAATTTTTGTAATTTTAAAATAGTAGTATTGGCTAACAAAGTAACTATTAAAAAAAATACTAAAATTGCTAATTTTTGTAATTTTAAAAATATTTAAAAATAATATTATTGGCTAACAAAGTAACTATAGATTTAAAAAATATTAATTGAATTACAAGTTTCAAAAATCTCTCCCCTAATATTTATCTCTTTCCTAAATCTCATAATCTATCTATCTACGCTATATATTATAGGGAAAATTGGTCTAAGATCCCTCCCCAACTTTTGATAGGAGGAGAGGTCCACAATAATATGTTTTGATGGCTAAGGTCCCTCAACTTTATTTTAGGTTATAAAATACATAATTTACCCTTCTTTATAACATAAGTTTGTTTGGATTTTGGCAAACTGAATATTCTATTGCTAGCTTCACGGTGGCGATTTTGGAAACTAACTTCGCGATGGAGATTTCGTCGGAGATTTCGTAGGGAATTTGCAAGTGGTGCAGTGGACTTGACGATAGAGATTGCTACGACCGTGTAAATGTTACAGTGTGTTGATCGTGTAGGTTTTTCAGTGGAGTTGAATCAGGTATGTTTTCGATGGAGATTTCATATGGATTTTGATTTTTGTTTTGAATTTTATTTAAGGATTCCGATTTCAAATTAGTTTTTCGAGTGTATTTTTGCATTAGGTTTTTATTTTCAGTTTTGATCAATTTAAAAAAGAGGCTAGCTCAGTGAAGTTGTTTATGATTTTTGGAGTTGATTTTTCATTCTCTGTTATTGATCAATTTTAGAGAGATGCCAGCTTGATAGAGTTGATTTTTATTTTTGGAATTCATTTTTCATTCTCTATTTTTCGATCAATTTCAAAGCGTGTTGACAGTGTAGTTGATTTTGATGTTTGGAGTTCATTTTTCGTGCTCTATTTTTCATCAACATGCTGATCAATGATAAGTTTTGTTCTCTATTTTTTCAAACCAGAGAAATTTGTTTAGACTAGAGAAATTTCATTCTCTGCACTTTTGTTGGTATAGTCCAAAGAAAATTGTAAGTTTGTTATTATAATCCAACGAAAATCACAGAGAAAAGTATAAGTTCATATGGACATATTATTAGAAGTTTCAAATGCAGATAGAATGTAACGCCCTCGAAATAACAACATTAAATCCATCAAATAAAACATTCATTAACATACGAAATATCCACATTCTTCTATTCATCAGAGTTTCATTACAAAAGTATCGTTAAACCCTCAAAATAATAACGTTAAACCCTCAACTGAGACATTCATTGACATGCAAAATATCCACATAATTCCATTAATCTGAGTTTCATTACAAAAGTAATACATGTTAACAACAAAAGCAAAATGCCCTACGGGCTTACAGCTTTCCAAGTTAACACTTGGTTACAACAAAAGAGTGTTAACTCATCTACACATTAAGCCCTTGGCTTGAAAATACATGTAATACATCAAAAGAAACTAAACAGCAAAAACAACTCGCATCTAGCCTCCCAAGCTATGTCCTTGGAGGTGGCATGCTACCTGTACCTGAAAATGATATTCCCATATAGGGTGAGCCACAGCCCAGTAGAAATTAGCAATTGATAGATGGTCAACACCGATACATCCACATAAATCACACTTTATGTCCTACGACTTATGAGTCAAAGTTACTTTTCATTTTCCCTTTTTCAACAGATAAGTATATTAGCTCTATCATCATCTCAACAGATATGTATAAAACTATATCCCACATTCACAGATAAGCATATAAGTTATATCCACATTCTCAATAGATATATATAACAACTATATTCCACGTTCACAGATAAGCATATAAGCTGTATCTACACTTCACATTCTCCACAGATATGTATAAAAACTATATCCCACATTCACAGACAAGCATATAAGCTGTATCCACATTTTACAAAGATAAGCATGTGAGCTCTATCTTCACTTCTCTAGACAAGCATATGAGTTGTATCTACGGAGTTCATCCCCTATCTTCTCCCAACACTATCCGGTTTAGAGGTACATCCCCCATCTTCCCCTAAATCGCGGAGTACATCCCCCCATCTCTTCCTCTATACATAACGTATACAAACACATTACACACAACGTATACAAACACATTGGTTCTATATACGATCACTCTATAGCGATCCCGGGTTTATCCTTGTTGTACAGTGATCCGGACATGTGTCTGTGGATGTTGGTAGTTGTTTATTATTTTGTTTACATCCTTCTTACTTCATAATTGAGTTATAGGATGTGTTGGGCAGGTTTGTTACAGGTTGGTTGAGTTTAGAAACCAAAACTAGTTGCCCAGGTTTTGGCCTGTACGCTCGAGCGGGGGTTTTGGCGCTCGAGCGGAGATTACACCCATTCAGTATTTTCCTGTGCAGCGTTGTACGCTCGAGCGTGGGATTGGCCGCTCGAGCAGGGTTGTCTGAGTGCCGCTCGAGCGTAGAGTTGGAAGCTCGAGCGGAGGCCTGGTTCTGTATAAATGCTGGGAGAGTGCATCTGACGCTCGAGCGGGAGTCTGTGAGTGACGCTCGAGCGGGGTGTTTTACGCTCGAGCGGGAGACTGGGTTCATCTAGGTTTATTATAAATAAAACCCCAATTTTTGTAAAATTACACAAAAGTCCCAAACTTTCAAAAAATTACCAAACCAACCCCAACATCTCAAAATACTAAAATTTAAAGACAAAATTCATAGAGAGGAGTAGGATATCCCTACCTCAAATTCGGAGCCCCAAAGGGAGAAGATGACAAACCCAACGTGCTCCAAATCCCGAAATTTTCAGATTAAAATAAAGCCCTCGATGATCAACAACTTTTTTGTAAAGGCCAAGGATGAGCAAATCACTCCTACTAGATCAAAATCTAGAGAGAAGGTAGAGTTCTAGAGTGAGAGGCTCAACAATGGTGTTTTTGGAAAAGTAGGAGAGAGAAGAGAAAGTGAAAAAGTGATTTGAAAAGTCAAAACACGGAACTTAAACCCAGTCGACCCGCTCGAGCGTCAAACACCCCGCTCGAGAGTCACTCACAGACTCCCGCTCGAGCGTCAACAATCCCGCTCGAGCAGCGAATACACACTCCCAGAACTTTTACAGAACCAGGTCTTCACTCGAGCTTCCAGCTCCCCACTCGAGCGGCACTCACACAACCCCGCTCGAGCGGCCAACTCCACGCTCGAGCGTCCAATACTGCACAGGAAATACTGGATGGGTGCAATTCCCGCTCGAGCGCCAAAACCCCCGCTCGAGCGGACAGGTCAAAATCTGGGCAACTAGTTTTGGTTTTTAAACTCAACCAACCTGTAAAAAACCTGCCCAACACATCCCATAACTCAAATACTAAGTAAAAAGGATGTAAACAAGATAATAAACAACTATCAACATCCACGGACACATGTCCGGATCACTGTATATCAAGGGTAAACCCGGGATCGCTATACCCTAGTATCCCTCCTGGTGTTATGTCGTTGGGGCTCCAAATCTGCCATGGGAGGGATAGAAGGTAGTCCTTCACGCCTTGCACCCCTATCTGGAGTTTGTCCGT